TTGATTTCATTATCAGAAAAATGGTCGAAACCCTTAACTAATCATTGGTCCGTGGTTATCTATCACGACATCGTTCTATCAAATAAGAAACAAGAAAACATTGATGTAACCATCAATTGTCGCCCGGGAAATATATAAAGTAAACAATGAAAATAAGTCTCGATCATCAAACCGCTTTCGATATGTGTGAAAAGGCATGCGTCTAATACGCAAGTTTCGAGATTACCTCCCTTGGTGCGCTCTTTCGTTGAGGAGGGGAGTTTCGTTGCCGCGTAAACAAACAGGTGGGACAGATATTTGATATTGTGTATGTTGGATACATTGCATCATCGATATACCGGTTTATCATAACTACACGATTGTCAGGATGCATTCTGCAGCTTGAGAATAACCGAATTAAAGTAAAGGCATCATTTTAAAATCAAAAATATCGAAACAAAAAAGAAAATATCAGTGGATATGAGACTTTTCTGACGAAGGAAGAGATATGGACCTCTTATAAATACGATACATATGCATCTGGTCATTGCACGTCGGGAATCTAAATTACATATTGATTCTTTTCCTTATTTTAACTTAAAAACACTTACTTTTTAGAAAATGTTCGTACAATGAAAAAAATCTGTTACTTTTTATAAAGACTATGACGTTTCTTTCGTTTTCAAGTACCCGAAAATTCATAGCAGAATTGTAAATATGCATAGTTGAGCTTGATAATATCATCAAATGCATCACTGCATAACATTATTATCTTTCTATAACATTTAATTAATTTTAAAAGCCATATATATCGTTCTTTTATTTATGCACTTTTGTATACAGAGACAACCTGTCCCACCTCCATGCTGAAATGGGTACTTTTTGCGCCTCTATCGTAGGAGAGTTACAATCTCGAAACTGGCGTATTGATGGAGACGACAGTCGCAAATATTTTGAAAACTTGTAGTCGTATAAAAATCATTCAAAAACGGTACCATTTTAAACTTGATCAATTCCTCAAGTAAATGTTGGCTGCATAAAATATAAATTGAAGTTAGACACAGGCATCACCTATATTTAAAAATGTATTAATTTTCAATTTTAGAATATAAAACACGAACTGTGGAGAGTACGTTTTTATCCGAGAAGTAAAATTCGATGTTCTAAAAAAAGGGACCTGCGGTTTTTTGATAGTATATGATAAGCAACTTTATATATTAAGTATGAAAAACGTATATATTTTTGCAGATTCACTTTATGGAAGTAAATATATATATATAACCGTGATTTATAAACTGAAAGAACATTCTGATTAACAATCTTTTCAATGTTTAGAAAACCTTTAATTCTATATACTACTCCCACCCTAATTCCCATAAATATGAACACTTAAACTTATATGAAAAGCAGCTTTGGGCTGCAATTAAAGCTTAAACTTTATAAGAAATTAAAGCTTAAACTTCATTTTTAAATATTCAGTAAGTATTAATTTCTAAAGCAACAATTGTTTTTATTCAGAAAAAAAACATCCAAAAAGGAGACAGATATGGCAGACACTGAGGTGTCTTTTTATTTTGAGTTCACTTGGAAGCTGTATGTTGAAACCTATTTTAATTTGAAAATCTTTGAAAATAAAAATTTGGTGAACCCTCAATCTTAGTTTAAACATGGTATTTTAATGTTGAATTCTAATTCGTGGCTTATTTTTAATTTAAATCAGACTGATTTTTAATAACCAGCGAAGTGTTTAGCTTAATGGGATAAGCTAACTTTTGAATTCTCTTAAATATTCTTTTCCTTTTGCTTGGGTTTAATAACTCTTTTTAAATACTAGTAATATTAAAACAGAATTAGTTTTATACCTTCATTTCTTTTTTTAATTATCTCTATTATTAATTTACATATTTAAAGGAGCAGCATTTTAATCTAGTATTCAGTGTTTCAATACTTATATCTTTGTGTACATGGAAAAAAACCCGCTATATTTCTTTGAAGAATGTTTTTTTCAATATACTTTGAGGTTTTATGCAAAAAAAAACTTTGATCTTAAAACCACAACAGGAGATGAAAAACTATCTCTGAAGAGGATCTATACATATTGATTTACATCAATGACTTTTACTGTGTGGGGCTTCTATCTATCTTTGTAACTTCAGTCCAAAGTTGTTGTTTTTTTTTTTTTTGGATACTCTTTTAATTTTTTTCTTTTTTTTGCGATTTCATCATTTCAGCTGACTACTAAGGAGGGCGTTAATTACTCGATTATCATTTGTGTATAATTTCTACCATAAAACACTTAAGAGAACTCGATCTGACCCATTTAAAATATAGGAGCAGAGTAAACACGGACCTCCAAAACGTCAGAGGTGGGATCAGGTGCCATGGAGTGAGCATCCCCTGGTTGTGTATAAAGTTGAAAAGTCGACAGTTTTTAAGCTGCTGATTTTGGTAAAATCTTGTGATTTCAATTTGTCCAAAAGTTCCTTGGAATTTCTAAGTATCCACATCTGATTTACACCACTTCTTGAAAATATTGTTGCACAGTACTCTTGTAGTTTCTTCTTCACTACTCTTAATATCTTAGTGAGGAGCGAAGATAGTGGCTTGCTTGAACATTTACTGGAACCCGCTATGTATCTTTGTTTGTAAGGATGATAATGAAGTTTCGGAATCCAATATATATATATATGATAGTTCAAATTCACTTTGGTTCTTTGGGATATCTAAAATATTCAAAACTGGTATATGATTTTGATGGATTTTTACCTTAGAAAGGGAACTATGAGATAAGTTGGATTACCACTTGTAGAATCAAACCCAAGTTTTTCTAAATTCAATTTATATAATGAGCCTTACGAGGCCTTACGAAGACAATGTTTAACCTTCTTTGTCAGCAGAGACCAGCACATAGTGATCATGTAATCTATCTAATTCTTTTTTCACTTCTCAATTATTGAAGACAGAAGGATATATGGTTTTCATATTGATTTTAACATGGATCGGATACATTTAATCTATCCCGACAACGTGTCAACGTCTTCTTCTTCATATCTTGCCAATCGTCTCGCGTTTACAATCTTTTACAGAATCCATAATATTCATGAAATTCCGACGCTAGTTGAAGAACCGGGGTTCCCTATATTTTGGACCTTTTATATGTTTTTAAATGATTTATTATACATCGTTGTACTTCAATCTTTTCTTTTTTAATAACACCTCAAGTAATATTGAATGACCACCTTTCATTCTTCATATTTCTTTTTAAATTTCGTTGCTTATTTGCAAAGGTAAAAAACATTTTTTTATGAATACTAAATCTTAAAAGAATCATGAAATAGAAATAAAAAAAACGGATAAAGAAACAGTTTTCTTTTTACAGAAATGCAGAACATTTTGATATTTAGATTGTTGCATTTACAAGATGTGAACATCATTTTTTTGTCATTTGCGAAGAGCGTGGTTTCTCTGCTACAGGGTTATTTGACGTGAATCAAACCTAGAAATTCTTTGACAGAATTCGATACCTGATTTTCTTAATGATGTTCTGTTTAGGATGGATTTTCTCAATTTGCGAGGCCAAGAATTGGATTGTCCAGCTTGATTACTGGTCGGTTTCATCACATTTCATTAAGACGAAGCATCATTAGAAATAAAAAGAAGGGTACTTATGTTTCCACCTCTCATGATTTACTTTGGCTAGCACATAATTGCTCGGTTGCTCATTATTACACGGTTTACTCTTGTGACACGTTTCTCTTTATTGACAGTTTCAATATTAAGAATTTTTGCGGTAGTATTTTTCTCAGAATATGAAAAATATTTGGAATTCGAAGAACTTGTAATTGTAGAAACAGTTCAAACACATTTTATTTCTAGTTAATCTCCCCTGCAAAAATTAAAATCATAATTGTCTTAATATGACCACCCCTACTTTGTTCTTAAGCAACATTTTCTTAATAGATTGTGTGTATCAACTTGCGAAGAAAATATATGTACCAAATTATGATATCAAAAAATATGAAATTTATGAGAATTGGCATTGCAGTCATTTTTTGCGATTATTATGTTTTCCCGGTGAAGTGACAGTCTCTCGGTCATATTATCAAAAGTTGCGTAAATCTCAGTAATAAGAAAATAAGACTCTTTGGTTGCCAAAATATGCCGCCTTTAACTGACTGATTTTTTTTTCAGAATGTAAGTACTATTGTCCGTGGTGCACGTGATAGAAATCGAAAATGTTGTTCCTGTTGTCCTTTGTAGAGCATTGCTAACTATGCTAATTTAATAAGGTTACTACTCTCCAGCACAAAGTCAATGCACTGAAAGAAGTACCTAGTTAATTTAACTAGTGTTCTTCGTAAATAAATCGTTCGTCGTGATCAGTAATCAGTAATCATTCTGTTTACTAGCTAAGATAGTGAGTAGTAGGTGTCTCGTGGAGCGGGGGTCGTACAGATACGTAACTCCAGTCTTTAAGTGTTTATGATAACACATATCACATTTCATTCAACTTTATAAAAGTCTATGAATAATGATAACAGAATTCATCATCAAAACTTGATATTAGAGTAGAAAATGGCCATTACATGAAACAACCAATCACAGTGCGTCTTACACAGTTGAACTTATTTCTTGAATGCTAATTGGGTAAATGTTGTCCATTCCTGTTCTTTAGAATGCTGCTATCTGAACACTCCATGGATTTTCATGTATATTAAATTATTGTATCAGTTGGTTAAAAAAAACAAATAATTCCCAACAATACTATAAATATATTACTTTTATTTAAATAATTTTTTTAAAAAAAGGACAGAAACAAAACATCAACAACAGATATCTAAAAATATTTCAGACATATATCAAGTTCTGTACAATTCTAAAAATAGGATAATTATATCACAGATATAACTTGCTGGATTGGAATGTTACAGTTTAATAAATGCCTAACAATAAATGGTCAAACCTACACCCTTAGTGAAATAAATGCACACTGGTCATTTGCATACATCTTTATTCTTATTTTACAAAATCAATATTCTAGACAAGTGTTTTTTTTCATTCCTAAATTATAAGTTAATAAGGTTCTGTATATCACAATTCTGCTAAATTTATAATGAGGTTGTGAATGTATGCACTAATTATATTATGATATTTAAATGTTTTCTGCAAAAAAGAATAATACTGATGTCATAATTATTTGGTTTGGGTGTCCATGAGGAATGGTTCTTGACATTCTGAATGATACTAGCAGTCCTTAAGGACATGAAGCTCAGGCATTACATCTTTGAGACACAAAGTTAGAAATAGTTTTTTAAACAGAATGTTGATTTTCTACCATATAGCAATATTTTATTCATAATCTTGGTGAATAATACAGTCAATGTAGAATTCTGCCAACTTGAATCATTTATTGTACTTTGCAAGAAAGAAGGAAGTCAATTTGATAGCTAGCAGATAATATGACAATCTAAACACAAAATAATAATAATCATGAGTCATAACATGCATATGAGCCTAAAATCACAGCAGTAGTATGGAATTCAACCAATTCAAAACCTAAATACAGAAGTTTAGCAAAATAAAATGTCAAACACTGACATTTTTCTGATTTCAGCATAAAAAGATGTTGATAATAAGTTCTTGATGCCAAGAATTTCATATATGGACGGATCAAAGTCAAATATTTTAAACTGGAAGATGCTAGCTGCTTTTAAAAACTCACATGAAATATGTATTGTCATTTAAGCCATTTTAACTAAAGGATTATTAATGTAAAACCTGAACCAGCAGCAATATTGGATGATGCCAGGCTACATCACACAGAGTTGTGACAGGGAGTTACGGAGCGGAACCTTCGTGGGATGCATCATTAACCGTGACTGATGGCAGACAGTTGGTAGTTTTCTAACTTGTCTTGCAAAAGTTGGATAGCCTGGATTTTCTGAGTCAAGATATGGCTGATCCTCCTTACATAATCTTCATCACTCTACAAATAAAAATACCCTCAAAATAACAACCACATCAATTACAAACACCTAAAATTACAGTAAGTGAGACAAGAGGCCCATAGGCCACATTGCTCGTCTGAGCAACTAGGCTAGGAAAAAGCAGTAATCAATTCAGTATTGAAAAACTAAATACACAATTGGTTCATTTCTATCACTCGGAGGAGGGGGGGGGGGGAGGGTAGGGGGGAGCATGATTTAAAGAAACTTAAATCAATACTAACTGCAGATGTTTCCATAATTCTTTGGCTAGCCATGGATTTAGATTTTTTCCTTTAACCTTGTTCTTCATTATATCCCACCCCAGGTGTCATGATCTGAACTTGAATCTAAACAACCTGAGAATGCTTCTTTATTAATATAACAAACCATGGCTTTCTGGTCTTTGAGAAGAAAACTTTGATTTCCTAAGTGTTGTGGCCCATCCCTCCTCTGGGGGTCAAAAACTACTATGGATGCTTTCATATAGATATGATTTGCTGTTCTTTAGAAGCAGAATTTCTGATATTTTTTCTTAGTTTCTTATGTAAAACTATGATTGCTGAGTGTGGCCTCACTCTACTGCCCAGAGGGGATTTTCAGAACTTAATTACCTTATTGCTAACTCAAATTTTCTTCCCTTGAAAGAACATTAATCCTTCCTTGGAAGATGTTACATACCCTTCCTTGGGAAAATAAACTTGAATCCCCTTTATCCCAGAATACTTTGTGGCAAGTTTGATTGAAACTAGCCTAGTAGTGCTTGAGAAGAGGTAGAACCATTGAGAAGTCTATAGATAGACAGATGGATAGTTATAGATAGACGGCTGGTCAGACAGATGCCAAACAAAATGTGATCAGAAAAAAAACTCACTTGAATCTTTGGTTCAGGTGAGCTAATAAATTACTGTGGAAATGATTCACTTCTAGACTCCATGCCCTTGAACTGAAATAAATATTCAGGGCAGAGGATTTTTTTTATTTCCATCTTAAATCACAATGCTTTTCTGTGTGTATCTTATTGTTTGTGTATCTTGGCTTCAGATGGGATGGAGTCAAAAGGCTGAGGAAAGCTGCACTTGAAAATCTAGATTAACAGTTTGACAAATAGGTAGACAAATATACACTCAACAATTCAGCCATGAGGCACTTTTTCAGGTTTGTACCCACACATGTAATAAAAAATGCATTTTTATGTGAAAACTGTCATAACTTTCATCATAAAAATTTCCAGTTTATTATCAGAATTATGAAATTAATGCTTAGAGAGATACATACAATATGTCTAACACAACATTTATCATCTTTTCCTTTCTGAATTCTGTAAAAGATTTAGAGAGATTTAAGAGAAGGAAATGTCAGTTTTATGTCCACATCATGGCTAGCCACCCTGATATTACATCTTATACAAAAAAAAAAATTGATCTATATATGTCACTATAAATGTTAAAACTTTACTTATATCTGTTTAGTTAACAGGAAATAAAAGACAGAAGCCGAATTATGATTATATAAATATACCCTGCATATATAACTGTATCAAATCCATGAAGCAATCAAATGGTTACAACTAAATTAATGCCCTAATTTTTAATGAGCCAAGCTTCCTGCTCTCCATTCCTAGATTCCTGAGTTACTTACAGTCTTTATTATTGATTATGTACACTCACTTTCTGATTTTTAGATATAATGTTGTTATTTCTTGACTTTTATTATATCACTGATGCCAGTGATCATGTGTTACATATATAAACTAATTTTGTTGCAGTTAATATGTATAAAGTGCACACATTTTGCATCAGGTGATGTATTCACTTTGCCTCCTTTAAATTATGTTGCTATGTATATATTTACTGTGTAACTTTTATTAGGCACCATGATGTTCTTTACTCTGTCGATCACTTTATCAGTCATTCATTGTACTGTAGATTCCTTATTTTATGCCAGTACTAAATATCATAAAATGGCCCTTATAGACCACAAATCACGAGAAGAAGAATTTGCGAGAGGATCATTATGCAGGTTGATGAAGAGATCTAACAAGGATTTCAGCACCATTGAAAATTAAGTAGTCTTATCTGGTGAGTGGTGTGTCTCGCAAAGTTACACAAGAATTATTTCCTCCTGTATATTTAGGAATGTACAGTACTCACATTTTACTTTAATTAATTATACATGTAATTGTCACATTTCACTCACTTAAAGACATTGGTTATTTGTTCTAACTTTATGACATTTTAAAAAAAAATGATTTTATGACATATTATTTGTTATGTTGTTTCTTTCATAAATCATTGCCAGTTAAAGCATCCATAAAGTTGTACTCACCTTGTGTCCAGACTTAGCCCCTAACAATAGCTTCATTTCCTGTTTACAAAGAGACGTAACTGTTGCAAGCTGTTCTTCATGGGCAGAAATGATAATTTGTCTGTAAATGCACAAAATTTTATTTCTATAAATAAAATTAGAATTTTATCATTTTTTCTTCCATTTTGAGGAATTAATACAAAAAAGTGATCAAATAGGCAATTTACAGTAGAACAAAGTTATACTGAAAATGCTTATTAAGAATTGACACTTACAATAAAGTGATTTTTATTCCCTATGGATTTAAATTATAGTATAAACTTAATGGATATGAGGAATTATGCTTATAGCAAGGCAAAATCCTCCATCCCTGGCACTTCATTATAAGCCTGTTTTAATACTGTACACAATTTATATTTTTCTATATGTATAAAGCTTCAAATGTTTAAAATATAATTCTTTTAGAAATTCATATTTTTGGTGCTGTTTGTAAATTGATTTTACACAACTAACTTAGTAGTATACTGTTTTACCTGCTTTCTGTTTGTTGATCCTTGCTTTCTACTTCCCTGGCTTCATTTTCTGAGTCTCTAGGGACAGGATGTGCTAGATCCTGGTTTGCTGACTCTACTACATGCTTTGTTACAGGGTTAGTAGTCAGGGGCTGTGGGTGTATGGGAAGAAATGCTGACCCCACCCTGCCTCCACCCTCAAGCTTTTCTGTTGTTATTGCTGGACTGTTAAATTTACTGGATTGGCCCCTCCCTGAGGTTTCTCCCCCACTCTTATTGCTGAACATGTGGTTCCTGCTTTCACTTCCATATTCAGTTAACTGATCTTTCTCTTGTGTTTTTGCAATTCTAGGTTTGTTTTGTGTAGTTGTGTGTCCTCTGTTATTTGATGAGTCATTTGTTTCATTTATGGGACTAGGATTTGAAACATTATGTTTCTGTGGCTTCTCCATGGATTCCTTAAAGAAGACAGACCTTAATCTTGAAGCCACGTCTTTCCTTGAGGTTGCTGGCCTGTCACCATAGTAGCTAGGTCTCTTCTGGATTGGAAGAAACTCTGTCAGATCTGAGTCAAACTTGTCATGAATGTCTTTGTCCGCCTCTAGAGGTTTTTCTGGCCTTTCTTGGTTGGACTGGCTGTATCCTGAGGCAGAGTGAACATCGTAATCAAGATTAGAAGTTGATTTTTGGACAGAAGAGTAGATATGTACAGCACGATTCGCTGGTGTATTGTACCAGTCATTGGTAGACAGAGGATCTACCTCAGCCAATGAAATCTTCTCCTCTGAATCATGTGACTGTCTACTTGTATTTTCATTGTCAACACATTCATAGTTTAATCCTCCTAAATTGTTTTGTCTTGTTTTTTGTTCCCTTTCGTCTACACATTCACTTCTTGATCTTGCGTAATGATCATTCTGTGATGAATCTGGTACCTCTTTATTAGACCTAAACTGATCACCAGAGCCTGGGTTGAATCTGCCATAATCTGAAGAAACCTCTTCCATCCTGTGGTCTTTAGGAGTGGGGATTCTCCTATCATCATAAATCTGATAGGGACTTTGGTTCTTGGCCTCCTGACGAGGGGAATGCCTGGGAGGAGTATGCTGCTCTGCCCTGTTTTGTTCTACTGGTTGACTAAGTGGTGGAGTCCGTAATATCCTTGGTCGGGATTCTGTGGGGTTCACCATGGCCAGGGAAAATGGAGGTGGAGGAGGTTCTGGATTGTAGCGACTGAATCTTCCAGGGGACCTCTGGGAGAAAGTTGTTAGGTCACTACTCTTAGCAGTCATAACAGCAGGTAGAATGGGGTCCACAGAAGGATCTTGAGGAATTTTCAGCTGTACATTATTCCCCCTACTGAGCCCCAGTACTAAAGAGTTCATTTCTCCCGTGCTTGGTGTTCTGGGAGTTTTTTGTGAGGGGGAGGAGGGATTAGGTCCATCAAACAAGTCATCATCAGCTACACTTCCGAGAGACAAGGGGGCATGTTGAAGTACAGGTTTAGCACTATTCACAGTTCTTCCTGGGTTATTCTGAGACACTTCAGACACCCTGGGAACATTATTATTGGGGTTGGTCAAAAAGTTATTACTCAGTGGCAAGTTTCTTACTTGGTTTTCAAACTTCCTTGGTCCTGACTCTGTAGCTGTGCTAGAGGACTGAGCTGATGGCTCAGTGTAGATTTTCTTCCTGAGGACAGGGGGACTGGGCCGTGATGGACCCTGGGGTGAGTTACCCCTGTGAGGGGAGTTCCCCCTGTCTTGTGGGCCCTGTGTAGAATCAGGGGATCTATAGTCCTGATCTCCTATCACTGGCAGTGGGTGACCAGAAGATGAAAAATGAACTCCAGGGGGTTTAATAACTGAAACACTCTGAGAACTAAAAACATTGTCTGAAGAGTGGGCAGTTTTGCCTCCAGTTCTGTTTAAATCATTTAGTTCATCATTATTAAAATCTGTAGTGGGAAAATCGTTATCTGTATCTGTAGATTTTACTACAGGAACATTTCTGTTAGTTTTCACATTACGTTTCTCACTCACATTACAAGAGTCTGAGTCAGTGTGATCGGAGTCACTGCTTTCTATAAGAAGCTGTTGAGGAGGGGGACTGGACCTTAGGGGGTCAGGAGAAGGTCGAGGGGGGAAGTGTCTAACAGCAGAGATACGACTAGCCACAGTAGCACTTGGTTTTCTGATCTGAGGTTTTGTCACAGAAGAGCCTGAGGAGGAGGCAGATGCTGGTTTTGTTTTTCTTTTAACACCGTGACCCTTGATTGGGCTTTCTGTGGGGTCGAGATGAATATCCTGCATGGATGCTCGAGACACAGTGTGTCTGTGTGTCTTTGGTTTAATGGGAGTGGAAGAACACAGAATGTTTCCTGGCTGGAACACAGAGGGGGCTGTTAGAGGAATATTCATCAAGATGTTACTGGCTGTACTCGCCCTCATTCCAGAAGATGACTCTCGACGAAGCTCTTTAACCCTGGATAATGAAGAAAATGTTCCTATATAAATCACACAGTTAAACTGACAGTATCTCGATTAATGAATATATTGAATTTCAGGGAAATGTAGAGGCGAATTTATATATTATTTTTGAATTTCAACATCAATATGTCAATTTCAGGGGGAATCTAGAAGCTACTTAATATTTTGGTCCAAAAATGACATTTAATATCATTTCATTTTATGGCTTACCTGTCAGCATATCTTAATGTGTTCAGAGTGTGTTCACAGGAAGACTGGGTGGGGGATATGTTAGCGATCATACAGGTACGAGAATTCCCCACGAAGGAGTCCTTTAGTATGTGTGTCAGCTTGCTCTGACGAAATGGGGTGTGTTTACTCTCTTGATCAATAGACCGAATGCACTCCTTCAACTACAAAATTTAGGGAAAACATTTAGTGATTAATGCTAATAAGCCGAAATCTTAAAATTACCCGAGTAACCTTAGAGCCTCTCTGACAAATAAATACCAGGTACATGTTTGCAAAAAAAAAAAAAAACACTTTCACAATGTGATCATGAATTCTTACTTCTTTTGGTTTAAATCAATAAAAGAGATGAATTATTTATTGTAGACACCAATTCCTTAAATACCAATTTCAACAAATTAGCAAATTAAGATAATAAGACTATTTTGACTGAACCACAAAACCAGAAAACTGCAAACTTTTTACCACCGTATACTGTAATTCAGATTTGACTGGTTTACTTACAGCTAAGAGACTCTGATTAATTTCTGCTCCCTCCATGCGTGTCTGTTTGTCAGTGTCCGTAACATCTGAGGCTCGCTCACTGCCTGCTAGGTCAATGAATGACATTCTGTTAAAAAAAAGACTCAAAATGTCAGATGCCAGACAAAATTCATTCTATTCCATGATCTAAAATTTGTATATATATTCTCAAGATCAATCAAATGCCTGCTTTACAATCAGATACTGTAAATTTGTTTTAATCATAATTAAAGGAGATGGGTGAACATGACGAGAGATAAGCCCATAGCGCGACAAACATGAAGGTGAAAAATTAAATCTCAATTTTATCAAAATTTTCTTTAATATTTCATCTAACATTAAAGTATACTTTATGTAAAATCTCAACAACTTGCACAAATCTCATGAAAATTGAAGTTATTTGCCTATGAAATATTATACACACACAAAAGAGGACAAAACGAGTCATTTTTTCCCACTTACTATAACACTATTTTTCGTTATGAGTGGGTCTTCTCTCCATTTTTTTGAAAGGTAATCCTCAAAGTTTGCATAAAAACATACATATTTTGGTTTCCAAAATTATGGAGCAATGACCCACTATACCTTAAAAATATAAGTTTATGACATAACTTTCGTATCTTTTTGAGAAATACTTGAAGTCCCTTAAGTCAATGGTCCTATCACAAACATGATTTAAATGCCACACTTCATCAGAACTTGTGTAGCGTAGTGGTTAGCGTGCTAGTCTCAAAAGAGAATGCAACTCAGGATTTTTATTGCCAGGGTTCGAACCCAATGGATACCAAATTATTTTTCTTTATAAAAGCATAAATTTTAATGAAAAATTTTCCTCAAAACTTTTTGTTTATCATGATGTTACAAAAATCAATGATGAGAACTTTACTCTAAATACTAAAATCACAATTTGAATATGACTTTTATATATCTGAAGCTTGTGGGTTTTTTTGCACGCTAAGTTCATCCATCTTCTTAGTTAACATCTGATAAGAAGAGCTATGTAAGAATTCTTTTTACCTGCCGAGTTTTTTGTCCTTAGAGTCCCTGATCTCGAGCTGTAGGAGGGCGTGAGAGCGGGAGGAGTCAGGGTTCACCCCGGTAGCTCCTTTACTTCTGACAGAATTACCATATTCCAGAATCTTTGAAAACAATGTGTGATAAAATCATCATTATATTTTTTCTCAGTAAAAATTATTGGCAATTGCAATCTGAGTATACATGTATTAAAGCAAAGTATTCAAAAAAAATCTTTCCAAGATAGATGTGTTATAATGTTTACATATGATGAGGTGCCCTATTTATTGTCAGATGAAATTCTAAGCTATAGATATGTAACAAGTGTTAAACTAATTCCTCTTGTAACCGCCCTCACCTGTAGAAGAGAGTTGACATCTGTGGCTTGTGTTTCTGTCAGCCCGGCAATACAGACTTTATGGGAACCATCCTCCCGAGCATGAAGCCTGTACCCAAAAATAAAAGCGTCTTTTACCAGATTCCCTCATTCGTCTTAGGTTAACAAAATCAAAAGTATTTACAAAGCAAAAAAAAAAAAACAGATTAATTATGTATAAAGAGGATATCTATATTGTGTGATTTGATATTGGCTTTATCCAAGGAGTTGAAATGGAGTATATCGCGAGGCTTGCAAATGAATATACCCCATTTCAACGAGTTGAATAAAATCAATATCAAATCACACAATTATAGATGTTACATTTATCTCATTATATTGAGTTATGGTATTGTCTCTTTGAGTTTAAAACTTTACATTCAAAGAAATAGGGTGGAAAAAGTTCACATGATTTTCATTACTTTAACCATTCTTCAACTGAGGATTATCAAATGGACATCTATTGATTGGAAAATGACATCAATATGATTTAATCATTTTATCTTTGTCGTGGAGATAAGGATGGAAGTTTGGAAAACAGTTTCACTGTGACAGAAATAAGTCAGAAAGCTAGCATCTACCCGTGATTCAGACACTCAGACTCCCTAAGAACATGAATAAGTTTCTACAGAATTGAACACATTTTCTGTTCAACATGTCCAATAAGTTTGTCATAGGAACATATTTGCAAAAGTAAATTGATATATTTTATAAAATAACAGAAATTTACCTGTTTCTTTTGTTAAGGAGGTCATAAAGGTTTCCACAATAAATTTCGAAATAGCTGACCCATACTTTGATGCCTTGTCCATATCTTCCTGACTCAATAATAGAGAAAATATCATGAGATGCCAAGAGATACAGCCCAGGAATTTCTCGTGAACCTATCATTGTGTGAGTTTTACCAGCACCCGTCTGTCCATAAGCAAAACATGTGGCACTTCCACTAAAAAGAAACATAGTTATTCATTGTATTACATGTTTTACTATTCTATGGTACAATGTAATACTATAATTATATATATATTTGAAGTTTACATCAATTAACAATTTTTACAATGCAAGTCTCAATGATAAAGTTGGTACCCCTCAAATATGCAGTTAATGAGAGGCCGGGCAGCTCTAATATACACATCTTCATTCCCACAGGCTTCATCAAACACCTCGTCAAAAATAAATTCATGCTGAAAAATTAACATTCAATTAGACCAAGTTTAATGTTTTAAAGGTTATATCTAAATCTAAATTAAATTCATTCAATATCAAAATAAATTTACCTGGATTTTATTTGAACAAGTTTGTACTTTTTAGCTAAAGTGTACATGATATACATGTAAAGATATATCTCTTCGTGGCTTGAGCTACCTGTAGTGTATGTGGAGTCAGATCCACCGCTAGTTTTGGTTCGTTGACCGTCAGAGTTGTTGTGCTTTCAGCTGACACTATATCTGCTTCACCAGACTTGATTTCTTTTTTGTTCAGAGGTCTTTTACGAACACATACTTTAATTTTTTCATCACCTCCACCATGTTTTCCAGTGGATGACTTAGAACTCCTTATAGATGAATTGACAGTTGTTGGCACCCCATAATTATATCCCTTCTGCTTTACACGGCGATTGACAGCTCTTTTCCTAACAACAGAAGAAGCTGGATTCAGATGCTTTGACGCTGGCTCATAATCTGAGGGGTCAGATGACTCCGATTCTGATTCCTCCTCACTCTCGGAGAATACGAGAGCCTGGGCCTGGGCGGGGGCGGGGGCTGAGCGGCTCCTCTCCACCACTCTCACATTGTTGGTTGGAGTAAGTCTCTGGCTGATCACGTCATTACTATTTGAGGCAGGGGTATGGATTCTCTTTAAAGATTTTCTATTTGTAACTGGACTATGTCTAGCTATAGGTGAATTATATAAGGGGTCAGTGTCATTAACAGATTTGATAATTTCAATGAGATCAAGTAATCTTCTTCTATCCTCGGGAGAAGTTATTCCAATGGCATCACAGTCTGTGGTGTCTAACCTCGCCAGGGCCTCAGATCGAGTAATTCCATTTATACGAAAGATTTGATAATATTTTTCAAGTCGTGCCTCTTTCAAACATTCAAATAAAGTACCCATGTCTAACTTGTTTCTTCATCAGAAAATCTTCATCTGCAAAAGAAGAAAAAAATCAATTATTTAAGTCATGATACACATGTATAATGGACTTCAATGATAGACAGGTACAGAAATTAAACGTTTCTAATCAAAAATGACTGCAAGTTTACTTATTATTTTTCATTTGGGAGAGATTGGGTGCAAATATAAAAACAATGTCATATTTTTTTCATATACATAAAAATTTATGATATTTTCGTATCTTCCTTTACTTTTTTTTTCTTTTTTAAAGTAAATCTACCCAAATCATAAACATAGCTAAAAACTGTGTCCATGCAATAAATTTACAATTATGTCTGTTGCAAGCGTTAACTTACCCAGGAATTCATTGCGTTGCCTAAAATTAAAGTCTGACACCAACTTTAAAGTGTTTACGTCAGGTACTTTGGCATGCAGCCGAGCTCATCAGGATCCATTTACTGGGCATGTTACGACTTGTCTTACGAGATATCGGAAGTCGCGTGCATCGCTGGTTTTTGAGGGTCTTTGAAGATACACTAGCTTTGAATTATCTGAAAAAAGATAATCCCATTGTATATATTTTAAACGACGGACAGATGGGAGGTATAAATTTTTAATGAAGAAAGCATTTCAGTAACAGGAAGCCACCAATTCGCCATTTTAAAAGACGCGCTTTACCATGTCATGGAAACACTTTGAACTTTTAAATTCGGATAAGTCCGGAAATATAATGTC